CTGGATCCATACATTTATCTGATGAATTTATCCTACATAATGTCTTGCAAGTTCCTGGATTTCATTGCAACTTAATATCTGTTGATGCCTTTATCAAGAGCTCTAATTGCACTATGGAACTACACACTAATCAGTGCATTATACAGGATCCTACCCTTGGCAAGATAATTAGAATGGCTGAGCTCCAAAATGGACTGTATCACTTAGCCTTTCCTATTGTTTCTCTTTATGTTTATACCGTTACTTCTACTGTGAACAAATGTACCTTGTGTCATGCTAGGCTAGGGCATGCCTCATACACTAAACTTCAATGTTTGAATAAACTAGACCCCACCATTCAAATGAATAAAAATCTAGTATGCGATTGTTGTCACTTTGCCAAACAAAAGAGGTTGCCCTTTCAACCTAGTTCTTCTAACTCACCTTCTTGCTTTGATTTATTACATATGGACATTTGGGGTCCCTACAAGGTTCATACTATTCATGGACACCACTACTTCCTCACTATATTGGATGATCACAGTAGATCAATTTGGGTTCACTTAATGAAGAAAAAATCTGAAGTTAGAAATCTGGTTATAGCCTTCTGTAACTTGATTAAGAACCAGTTTGACACCAAAGTGAAGTGTGTGAGTACAAATAATGGGTTGGAGTTTGAGATGGCTGATTTTTTGGTAAAAGAGTAATAATTCATCAAACTTCTTGCACCTATACTCCTCAGCAAAATAGTAGGGTTGAGAGAAAACATGGACATCTTATTTCTGTTGCTAGAGTTCTCAGATTCCAAACTTGCTTACAAGAATGTTTTTGAGGAAAATGCATATTGCATGCAGCCTACATCATCAATAAGCTACCCTCTGCTGCTATCAATCATCAAATCTCATATCAAGTCCCGATTCACAAGGAGCCTCAGTATCAACACCTAAGAGTCTTTGGCTGCCTAGCCTATGCCACCACAGTTGGTCCCAAGTCCAAGTTTGATCTAAAGACCAAGAAATGCATATTCCTTGGATATGCTAATGGTACTAAAGGTTACAAACTATATGATCTACAGACCAAAGAAGTGTTTGTATCAAGAGATGTGTCATTTCATGAAAATGTTTTCCCATTTCAGTATGTTAATGTGCCAAAAAAGGAACCTTGCCAGATCATTTTCCCTGTCATAGATGGCATCCCAGAAGAAACCTCAGTTAGTCCACAGACTCACAGATCTGTTCCTAGCCATTTTCTTGCTCCAGTACCTAATACAGTGCCTGATGCAGTATTTGATGCTGTGCCTGATATAATACTTGAGCCAACATATGATACAATCAATGAGCCACACAGCCTCACACCTAGGTTGACACAGCAGCCAGAAGTTTTCCAGACAGAAACAAACTCCTTCCTACCTGAAGGACTACATTTGCCACAATTCCACAGTAAGATCCTCTCCTCATAACATGCTCAAAGTTCTAATCTATGACAAGCCCTCACCCACCTTTCAATCCTTTGTTATGAATATCACCCTTCACACTGAGCCTAAAAATTATAGAGAAGCAGTCCAACATGAATGCTGGAGGAAAGCCATGGAGAAAGAGATAACTGCTTTGGAAAACAACAACACTTGGCAGCTAATGAAGTTGCCACCTTCAAAGAAGCCCATAGACTGCAAATGGGTGTATAAGATCAAACACAAACCAGATGGCAGTATTGAAAGGTATAGGGCTAGATTGGTAGCTAAAGGCTACACTCAAGCACTTGGGATTGACAATTTGGACACCTTTAATGACTACAATTAGAATCTTCTTGGCTATAGCAGCAGCTAAAGATTGACATCTCCATCAAATAGATGTCAATATAATAATGTTTTCCTCCATAGAGATCTAGATAAAGAGGTATATATGCAACTCCTACTTGGCTTTGAAGATAAGAAAGATGGTTTAGTATGAAAACTGAATAAATCCTTATATGGATTTTCAAAAAAAAAAAAAAAAAAAAAAAAAAAAAAAAAAAAAAAAGAAGATTAAAGCAAGCTAGCAGGCAATAGAACACCAAGTTAAACATGGCTCTACAAAGCATGGGTTCAAACAGTCTTTACCTAATAATTCCCTATTTGTTAAAGGTGAAGGAAGTTCTTTCGTGGCTCTACTTGTTTATGTAAATGACATAATTGTTTTCTCTTAATATTATCACACGTGCCAAATATGTTAAAAAAATAATAATAAAGATGTGTCTTTTTATTAAACATAAAAGAAAAATTACACTAAAATAAAAAGACAAAGAAAAACATTATTACTAAGTTTAAAAGAAAAAGTAATAACAAGTTGTGGTTACTCGATGCATCAAACTAGCTAGGGGGAGAGGATTTGTTTTTGTCACCACCAAGCTATACTCTCTGTCAATTTTCATATTGATAAACAAGAAAAGAGATTTAATTACTAATTAGTACGTAGGACTCCACCCATGCCACCAAAAATAGAAATGCATTAATTAGTGAGTTCATTTAATTTCACTTACCAAAATGAACAGTGAGTTGCTCACTTCTCATATTCTGTAGGTCTTCTTGGATTTCCTTCACTGAACTGACAGCACAGGGACGACATCCCACCACACTGATTAGAGCATCCACAATGGTAGAGTTATTTGAGTAATTATTGTAAAAGTGATTAGGAAAGAGAAATAGGAAGGGAGAGAAAAAAAAATCAAATTGATTTTTTTAAAAAAATAATAATAATATAAAAAACAGTGTCAAGCACCCTTGACGCGCCCGTATGAAAAGTTGATGTGCACGAAACGCGCGCCCGTATGAAAAGTTGATGTGCACGAAACGCGCACAACACCTTTCCCTCTTCATTTTGCTTTTCTGACATTATTTTTGGCCTTTGCAGGCCCATTCTTTCCCAATTAATTCTTCTCCACATTTGCATTTTCCTCACAATATTCATTGATAATGTTGCTCTTAGTTCCAATGTTGAAATATCTGTGAAGCTATATGACAACTCTTGTAAGAGTGTGTTTGGAAACCCTGAAAATAAATTTCTGGAAATCATTTTTCGAGTTTTCAATGTTTGGATGTGCCCGGAAAATCAAGTCAACGGAAATTATTTTCCGTTGAATTTGGAAAACATGCTTAGATGTACCTTCAATTAACAATTTATATGTTTGTAATTATCATGTTATATGTCTTCAATTTATTTATAAGTACATTAATTATTAACTGCATGTACAGAATGTGTTAACTACAGACACATAATTTGAAAGTTATTTTTAGATCAAGACCGCAATGCATGGTATTAGCTATTCATTCCTGGTCAGGGAGTAATTAAGGGTGTGTTTGGTTGGTGGGTTTTGTCCATAAGAATGGGTATGAAAATGATTGTTATTGTTTGGTTGATAGGTTTTTAGAACACTATTATGGGTTTCAAATACCCCATCAATTGAAAAACTTATACCCAAATAAAATAAGGGTTTCATTCCCTTATTCATTCTCAAGCATTACTATTAGTAACCATTCTCATTCCACTCTACTACCAAACATATTAAATACTTTCACCAAAATCCATTACCATTACCAAGTATTTGATACTCATTCCGATTTCGATTCCAATTCGAATTCCTATGTGCAAACCAAACACACTCTAAATTTATTAAATACCAAAAATACCCTGTTTTTTTTTTTTTTTGAATACTACCCGAGTGTTTGTTTTGTGTCAGAGTAGATTAGATGTTAGATATCCACCTCTCTAAGAGCATCCACACCAAAGAAGATTTCACGGGACACAAGAAAACTTTATCTACATGGAAGAGAGAGAGTGTAGGAGAGAGGTTTTTGAACTTTATCTACATGGAAGAGAGAGAGTGTAGGAGAGAGGTTTTTGAGCTCCTCGTGCAAATGTTGGGGAGAATTCAGAATTTGTAGGACCTACCACAATTTATGCCAGTAGTGACAGCCATGCGTGGCTGTCACCAATGCGCCCAGCGGGCACGTGCAGTGCACGCCCCCTGGGCGCCTCGGCGCGCCTCACAATCATAAATATTTATTATTATTTTTTTTAATTCTGTTTTGCAATTTTTTTTTCTTTTTTCTCTTGCCTCCCATCTTCTATTTCCTAATCACTCTTACATTCTCCCCCAATTCTCCTCAAGTAGCGTGGATGCTCTAACTATTGAGTTAAAGTGTCACAATTTTACTAACACACAAACTACCTAGAAGCTAACACCCTTTCACTAGCCATGACACTTAACAAGCTATATGCAGCCATGAGGAGGTTTAACTCGAGCATATTGTTCCTCTTACTCCAAAGAAAACCAAAAGCATGGTCCCCCTTGAAGTCTTGCTCCAACGGTAGGGTGAGAGGTGAGAGTTCGATTCCCACAATTTCCATGAAGACATAAAAGTCATTGGAAGGCCAAAAATTGAAAAAATTGATCAGGGGTGATAAAAACAAGAGTAGAAACGGAATACTGATTGTGTTACTCGCAATTTACCTCCTCTAGCATCCTCGGGCAAGGGTTCTGGGGTTTAATATTAGTCTAACGTAAGCTGGAAACCTAATGTATCAAGGCGCAAGTGGTAAGTGCTTAATCGTAACATCTTCCATCATGTTTTGTATCCCATTTAACTATAACCAATTAACAATCAGTGTATGCAACTGAGACATTACACTATTACAGGCAACCATAATTGAACTAAGAAAGCTGCTAAAGTTATCAAAACTAAACTTTTAAGTGTGTGCAAATGTCTGCTAGCCAGAATCTACTAACAATTATATACACAGAGTGATATTTAACTAAATAAGCCTTAATTCTAATTGTGTTGGGACACCATACATGAAGTAACAAATTCTAAAAGGCCAAAAGCATGCCACATTTTGTGACAGGCAATTAGAAGCACACAAAATCACAAACATAGTAAAACAGGACTAGCCAAACCTTTATTTTATTGTTTCTGCAGATTAATGAACCTTTCAAAATCACATTTGATTTGTTCTGTGATCTCTAATGACTCTTTGTTCTGTGTCCTACAAAATCTCAGTTGAACTTCTTTCCCTGTTTTGTCTCCCATTTAACTTCATTGGCATGGCTCTTAAAGGCTTCTTCCCTTCAAATTTTGTGTTAAAATTCGTTCTCCCTCCGTTGTTTGCTTCCTTCCCCTCCCGAATATCACGATGTCTTCCATTTCTCCTAGAGGATATTGGAGAACTCCCTTTCGTGTTCCGAGTGGAATTTCTTTGAGCTAACCTTCTTGAAGGATTCTCTTTGAATTTTGTGTTAAAACTCGATTTTCCTCCATTCTTTTCTTTTTTATCCTCACTTCTCTCCTCCTCCTCATCATCATAGTCACTATTAAAATCTCCATCTTCATCTTCATCTTCTTCCCCATTCTCATCCTCACAATCGAACTTCTCTGGCTTCTTTTCCTTCTTATCATGGCTAGATTTTTCATCCTCAGTCACCTTATTCATTAAGCGAATATATTTAAACCTCATTTCCATCATAGAACACCTACCAAGCAAAGCACCTCTTTTATATGCCTCTTTCAAAACCAAAGTATGTGTGCCAATCTTACTTGAAACATAAAAGATTCCAGGGTGCTGCAGAAATGCCCTCTTAAATCTAGACCTTAGCCCCAAATACTCTCCCAAAACAAGCACATTCTCCTTCTCTGCCTTCTTCCCAATACAGAGACTAAGAACTTCATGCAAAATCCCAACAACCCATTTATCTGATTCATCACTCTTTGAAGAAAGGTGGATTGGGTTGTTATATGGTGAAAGGTAAGGCAATTTCTGCCACTCATCAACCCATTTCTTGTGCTTTTTATCCATCTCAAAACCGTTGGAATAGCTCAAACAAAACCCTTCACTTTCCCCCTTCTTTTCCATCTCAGAAACAGCAAGATCATGGCTCCAACAAACCAACTCCAACATTGCCGCATCTCCGCCATTGCTGACCCGGAAATAATCTGGGAACTCAGGGACTATCATTTTCGCGTAATCTTGGGGCAAACCCAGATCCCATTTAAGCCTATCAAGCACAGACAATGGGATTTTGTTAGTTTTACCAATCATCAGAAGCTTCAAGAGCCGGTCCGCCACATTTTCCCGGTAGCTGACGCTGTCGTGGAGCAGCTGCTCTTCCGAATCGAGGGTGAGAGCTTCGGGGGTGAGTTTGATGTGGGGGTGGATGTTAACGCTGCCCGGGAAGAATTCTTGGAAAATTGCAGGGTATTTGCGGAGGAATTCGATGGGGCGGGTGGGGATTTGCAGGGAGTCCTTGGATTGGGTGATGAGGTTGAGAGGGAGAGAGATTGAAGGCTCGGATTTGATGAGGTTCTTGATGTTCCACACCTGCTTGAGGCTCCTCTCCCTCTCCACGGCGTGGTCGAGGCCCCGGTCCCGGACGCATCTGATTGATGACGCGCCGTCGTAAAGCGTGCGCCGCCGCTGCTGATGGTGGCACCGGCGGACGGAGTTTGGAAGAGAGCGGCTGATGAAATGCATTGTGTCGAGAATGTTACGGCTAATACTGGGAGGGTTTAAGCAAGGTTCTTCTGGAATAGGAAATATTGCATTTCAGTACCTCAAGTTTTGATCTAGTCATGATTCTGCCCCTAATATTTTGTTCTTGCACCTTCTTGCCAATTTCAGATCAACTACTGAACACCAAGTCAATGGGCAATTTTTTATTTTTTATTTTAAATAAATAAGGGTTAAATAGGCCATCTAACTACACATGATCCGACTACACATAATGATGTAATTAGGCCACTGAACCTAAAAAACTAACAATTTGGTTTCTAAACTAACCAATTTCAAACAATTCTTTCAATTTGAAAGTTTCCAACATGTCAACAGGTCATCAAAAAAAAAAAAAAAACAAGACTCCGGCCGGAGACGAAGAAACCTGGCCGGTTTAGGGACCCAATTGTTGAATTTTTAGGTTCATTACCCTAATTGCATTAGCCTATTTGACACTTATTCCGGACACTTATTATTCCTCTCTTTTATTTTTTTTAATATAAAGCTCCCACACTGAAGTTTGAACCTGAGAGGTACAACTATACCGCTCGACCATAAGGCATTTGGCACAAGGGACAATCTTTTGGTAATACAAGATCTCTACCTTGGACAAAGGCTTTTATTATTATTACTAGTATTTTTTATGCGTGAAGCGCAAAAAGTAGGTGCCAATATTAATACTTTATATTAAAATTTTAAATTTATTTAGATTTTAAATATTTAAATTATTGTCAATAATAATAATAATAATAATAATAATAATAATAATAATAATAATAATAATAATAATAATAATAATAATAATCTATACTTCTATACTATATATAAAAACAAAATCCTGAACTTTAACTTTCCGCCCAATTCCTAAATAATCTCTCTTCGTAATAAAAATATATTGATTTATACTTTCTCATTCGTACAATAATTCTGGATTAAAATTTATTCTTCTTCCAAAAGGCTGAACCCCAACTTAAGGGCCCCCCACACTTCGACCCGACAGAGCACTTGGGTTAAAATTCTATTCTTACTTTTATAAAATAGTGTAATACAATTCCTATTATAATCTATACTATATATAAAAACAAAATCCTGAATTTTAACTTTCCGCCCAATTCCTAAATAATCTCTCTTCCTAATAAAAATATATTGATTTATACTTTCTCATTCGTACAATAATTTTGGATTAAAATTCTATTCTAACTTTTGACTCAGTTGTCCGTTTTGGACAATTTTTAAAAATCGCGTATTTTTTCGAGATCTATCCACCGCAAATGCCGTAGGCGGTTTGGCCCACCAATTTCTCAAAAAAATGCTTCATTAATGATGTTATCACATCTGTGCTTGTTTTTATGGTTATTTTGAATCATCACAGTAATTAAGCTCTTTAATTTTGCTTATTTAATACATGTTTTCCTTGCTATTATCATTTAATTATGGTTCGCACTTGTTTTGAATATTTTACGGTGTTTGTTAGTGTTTTTGAACCATTTTAGGTCAAAGATATGACCAAGGGGAGTTCAAGGATGAGTTTGGAGCAATTTTGGATGAGTTCGGGGCCCAGTGGACTCGACGCGTCGAGCCCTTGGCTCGACACGTCGAAATTTTCCAGTAGCTAATTAATTCGCGCACAGGAAGTCTCGACGCGTCGAATATGCGTCTGTTTCTGGAATAAAAACAGACGCCTAAAGTGGCGCGGATAAAAAAAATAGACGCTTAAAGTGGCGCAACTGGGCAAAATTCAATACAAGCGCGAGATCTCTTTTCCTAATATGAATTGCGCGGATTTCAAGGCTCATATCTCCATATTAAAAGTTAGCAATTCAAGGAATCTTCCAAATTCTAAATATCATTAAAGACGACAATTTCTTTATTTAAATATAGGAATTAGAATTTGAGTCCAATTTGGTACAAGATTCCTATTTCATCTCAACTTTTTACCCACTATAAAATCCCTCCTTCCTCAAACCTAATAAGGGAGACCGCACCGAGAGAATTCAGAGATTCTTGGAGACAAGAAGGAGAGAAATCAAGAGCCACAAGTTGTCTTGGAAAGCAAGAAGAAGACTAGGGAGATTTGGGAAAATCGTCTGGTTAATTCTTGTACTCTTTTGATGATTTGTAATTCTTTATTTATATTTGCTATGTATAATTTAGTCATGCTTGACTAAATTCTTTAGAGATTCTTGGGTAAAAGTGTTTATGAACCTATGTGCCTGAGCTCTCAGTTTCTTTAAAATATTATTATTTGGGTTTAATACTTGTGTTGCAATCGTGATAATATTGTTTGATGCTTGTAATTAATGGCCATAGTTACTAGCTTCATAGCCATGTTTGTGTCACCAATGGGAGTTGGGGCATAAATTAGGGCACACACGATTGCACCTAATAGTTGGTCCTTGGGAAAGGGGAACTTATTAGGGGAAGTTTATTCTAGATTATTGCTCATCGGGAGATGGTAGTAATTAGGAATAATTGAATGCTGATCTTTGATCTTATTGGGTGTTTAAGCCATGGGAGTGGAAATTCACTAGGAATAGAGATTACGGGAGTAATTCGATTCCACTTTGCATTCCCACACAAATCTTAATTCCAAACTAAATATTGCAAATGATAATTGGCACTAGGTGATTAAATACTTGAATCCCGTGAATCTCAACTTCTCTCTAATTGTTTTCAAAATCCTGAACCTCTGTTTTATTTTATTTATTTTATGCCAATCAATCATCTAAGTAATTGTTAGGATTAGCTCTAATGAATAAGTTAGTAACTAGTGCTTGATACAACCACTTCCCTGTGGATCGATAACTCGTACTCCGAGAATTATTTGTTTGCAAATATACTACGCATCAAATTGGCGCCGTTGCCGGGGAAGTGGCGTTTCCAGTATTAACATTAGTGAAATCTTTATTCTAGGAGACTATTCCATTTTTATTTTTTTTATTTTATTTTGTTTTGCTAACCCATAACAAGTTCATTGTTTTGAGTGTGATTTAGTTTATGGATAGATATGCATTCCAAGGAACCATGCCACCGTTTTACCCTCCTTCTCAAGGTTATGAGATGAGTTGGAATATGAATCGAGAATACGGAGGAATGGAACAACAATTCCCTTTCTCAAATTTTGTCAACTCTAGTCAAGGATATTATCAAGAAAGTTCATATCAAACATCACAACCCCAATGGTGCTCATTTTGTGGTGGGAATCACTTTGTGGAAAATTGTTAGATGCTCAACCCTACCAACCATATCCCTCAACAATCTACTCAAGGATTTTGTGCCAACATGAGTCAAGCTACTTATCAAAGATGTACACCACCTACTCCACAACCCTCACGGTGCATGATATGTGGTGGACCTCATGAGGCGGAAAATTGCTTTATCATGGATCCCAATTACGAGTATCAAGGGCGAGCTCAAGAGTTGCCGTACCAAGAGTTTCAACAAGATTGTCAATCACTTGACCAAATAATTGAGATGAAGTCCAAAGAGACCAAGATAATGCAATTGTGCTCGAAATATCTGGAGTTACAAGATCACATGAATGCTCAACTTGATCGCATGAATGCTCGACTCGATCACATGATAGCTCGACAGCAAGATTTGACAATTCAAGAGCCACTTCAAGATTCATTTAATGGAGAGGTTCTAGAAGAGTTGCTCTTGCCAAATGAAGGTCATGAAGTTGAGAGAAATAAAAAGGATGATGAGGATCTTAGAGAGGGAGATGAAGAAATATTTGATAAATGCATTGAGATGGAGACACCAAGCTGGGAGGAAAATGTAGAGTTGCAAGGTAATGATGGCAAGGAACATATAGAGAGTTGCCCATTAGATGAGGAAGTTCTCAATAGAGCACATGATTTGAATGAGGATGTCCCACCAATGGAGAACACTTCCCTTGGAGAGAACTTCAAAGAAATTTTGAATTTGGGAGGCATTGGAGTTCTTAAGGATAATGGCACACATTTGCCTATCTATATATCCAATGATTCCCAATACTTGCTGGTTCATGTGAATGATCCGAGACTCTCATTACTTGTTGAACAAAAGAGTGTTGAAAAAGAAGGAAAAGAGAATGGAGGCATAATTCTTGATTCGGGCAAATGTGGTTCCTTACATAATGACGTGAAGGGTTCGAGCTTAAGAGAGTTTATAAATGGACACCACTTGAAGAAATACTTGGAAGAGGAAGTTGATGGAAAGAAGGGGATTTTTCTTCTCCAATCACTTGATGGCTAGAGAGGTAACGTCAAGCTAACGACGTTAAATTTAGCGCTTAATGGGAGGCACCCCATGTTATCTTTTATTACTTTCCCTGTTCATTTATTGCTTTCTAGTTTCGACTTATTTAGTTTTATTATTTTCTAGTTCGTGATTATTTTATTGCTTCTTAGTTTTCTCTTTTCTCTTGTTTTCCTTTTCTTTTATTTTGCATCAGGGACGATGCAAAGTTTTAAGTGTGAGGGGGAGGAATCATTAATTTGGGGATATTTCTAAATTTTTAAAATTTTTGCTTTTGCTTGGATGACTCATATGCTATTTTTGGTGAATAAGCTACTTGTCTTAGCATGCAGTTACAATTATTCTCTCTTGTTGGTTTGTGGTTTGTTTTAGTGGTGCTTGCTGCATCTCAATTTGTGATGGATGATTTGAGGTGTAACACATATTTGATCTATTCCCTTGCCAATAGCTTTGTTAACCACTTAATAATTGGATTAGTTCTTGATCTTGTGTTTTGCATTGATAGTGAAGGCTTATGTGAGATTCCGGTCATGAGTGTTTGCTAGAACTTGCCTCATTACTCCCTAAGTGATGTCTAAGTTTTGCATGTTTTGAAGTGATTTAGGCCATTTTTGTTTAGCCATAGCCTTTAAACCTGTCCCTATATATATTTTTATCCTTCGTATCCCCATTGTGCCTTTTGTTTGTTTAAATAAGTGCTAAGCACTTATCCCCTCTTTGTGATTGTTTTTCTTTGATTT